AATGGAATCTGACTCAGCTCTAAAAGGAAATGAACCGTTAAGCCACAAAAAGATATGGAGGAAACTTAAATGCATAATACAAAGTAAAGGAAGTCAATCGGAAAAGGTTGCATGCGATATGATTCCAACTATGTGACATTCTGACAAAGGTGAAACTGTGGGGACAGCACAAAGATCAGCTGTTGCCAGGAGTTGGGGGGAGGGAGGGACAAATAGGCAGAGCGCAGAGGATATTTGGGGCAGTGAAAATACTCTGTATGATACCCTGTGTGAATCCATAATGGTGGATTCACACCATTAAACAATTGTCCAAATCCATAGAACAAACACCACCAAGAGTGGACCATAATGTAAACTGTGGACTTTGAACGATTATGATGTGTCAATGCATGTTCGTTAATTGTAACATACTAGTCCGGTGCTGGATGATGGGGAGGCTATGCATGTGTGGGGTTAGAGATTATACGGGAAATCTCTGTACCGTCTCCTCAATTTTTCTGTGAATTTAAAACTGCCCTAAAAAATAAAGTCTCAATTTTTTTAACTTTTATTATTATTTATTTTACACTGAAATCACTCCCAGGCCATAAGCTTTTGTTTCTTTAGTTTCTTCTAGGCTATCTTCTTCTTCTGTGCAACTTCCTCTTCTGGGTTAGGAACACCCTGCTCTTTTTCAGTATGGATCAGTGCGGCAGGGATGGGTTAGCCTGCCCATGAGCTCTGTGAATGCTACACTGCATCTCAGGAGCTTCGTTCCCCTGGATGTGCTCCATGACCAGAGAGTCTACATCTAAACCCTTACGATCAGCATTACTCTCTGCATTTTTAAGCACATGTAGCAAAAACTCAGCACTCTTTTCGGCCACCAACTGTGTGCCCAACCAACCACACTGTTTGGCCAGGACACACCTGTCCACTCCACCATTGTAATGACGGAATGGGACACACTGCTCCTTTAAAGTGACATTGTTCAGATACTTGGTGGCTTTTCGAGTATGCACATTCTTGATGGCCTGGGAAGTTTCACGAGTGTTCTTAAAATAAACATGAAGATTTGAACCTCTTGATTTGTATGATTTTGTCTGGTTTTCTGGGTCAAGTGAGTAGCAAACCACTTTCAGAGGTCATTTCTGGTGGCTTTTGGGAAGAGGAAGAACAGAAGCTCCTTGGAGAATTCATGAGAACTCAATCTAAGGTCTCCATTTTTTATAAAAATCAAGAAAAAAAGTGCTCAGGGCCTTTTCCTGGGACACCTAGCAAGGTGTGTAAGAGAGTGAGACGCCCCGGTAGCTAGGCCCTCACTACAGCCATCTATCACTGTTTTCCCCGGGCGGTGACACAATGGTTGGCTGTTGCTAAGTCACACTAAGATCCATGAGTACCTTTTCCAAAAGGACATCTTTTGCATATCAAAACAGTAGGTTATGTAATGCACAGAAAGTTTCTATAAGAAACTGCTCTGTCCAGAATCGGGCCAGCCTGCCATTGCACAGTCCCCTCTCTGGAAGAAGTGTGGGCCCACTGAGCTACCCCAAAGGAAACAGAGTCATGAGCAGATCCCAATGCTGACAAGTGTTTCTGCCCAAAGGAGGCAGTAAACGAGGTCAGATTACTCCACTCTTGCACCCTGGAAGTAAATCTATGATTATCAATTTTTTTTTAAAGTGTTTGGGTGCATGTATTTGGGGGATGGGGAAGAAGAATCCAGATCTGCCTAGGCATTTGAAAGGAAATCACCTACTAGTACGGGTAATATGACATTGTTTAATATTTTTCTGGATGGAGTATTTATCTAAATCTCTATGCCCAAGTTCCCCCTCATTGCTTATTTTTAAGAAAACTAATTAGATTGAGCCCCACACCCAAATTATTAACCCCTCGTAAGGGCGTGCATCTGAAACCTCTCCTTCAATCCACCCCCAATGCTTGCTCTACCCATTCCATGACCCCAGGCACCTTCTGCATTCATCATGTCCTGTGGTCACCTCAACCTTCTTTTTCACCTCAGCCACTCTGCTCCCACTGAGACCAATACTCCATGGTGATATAGCTCACTATGCCCCATGGACATCTTGTTTCCTTGTAACTATAACTGCCACTAATTAAAACTACAATTTCATCATGATATGTCTTTTTGTCTTTTAGAACAAAGCTTCTCAAACTTTAGGGTACATCAGGGTCACCAGGAGAACATGTTAAAATGCGGTTTGCTGGGCACTGCTCTCAGAGGTTTGATTTACCAGGTCTGGGGTGAATCTGAGAATGTACATTTCCATTAAGCTCTCACACTAGATGGGACACTGATGCTTCTGTTCCACAGACCACTCTTTGAGTAGCTCTGTCGAGAACATCTGGGTAACGAATAACCTCTCAGAGTAAAAGTTAAAAGGGCCTTTCAGGATACCTCACAGAAGCCTCCTACCTGATCTGGGGTCCAGGAAGGACACCAAACAATATCAGGACTGAGTACCTCTTCTCGTGGTTCCTAGATGATGAGTCCCCAAGGAATCTAGATTATACCTGGGGAGGAGGAGGAAGGGGGAAGAGGGGAGAACCCTGAATTTGACTGAGTCTTTAACACAAAAAGACTAGCTCTGAACTTGAACTGAGTTAATTTTGATTGACAAATTCAAGTTTTCCCATATTATCCAAAACAGAGCTAGTGAGCTGAATTCAGTTATAGAGGAATGTACATTTATATCTTTAGCTGATCTGAGTGTAGTGAATGTAAATTGTGTAATCCATTACACTAATTATAGTTATTTGTATAAACAGCTTACCACATATAACCAATTATGCAAAGTAACAGCAATGTTCATCATTAAATTAGTAGCCAGTTAACTTTTATTCTATTTTATTTTTTCATTACAATATTAAACTCTATCCATACAGGTTCACTGCCGGTAGTTTGCTACTCAGCATGGTTATCCTTAGGTGACTTGAAAGGCAGAAATGGTACTTCTTGGGGATCACCAAATGATTCAATAAGCTATCTCTAGACTTTCCCTATCCACTATTCCTTTAGAAGGAAAGGTTACTTAATTCACTAGATGGTCATTTCTAAATGCTGTCTGGTAAACAGAAAGAAACAGTACATGATCAAAGGCGTGAACTGATCCAGTAACATACTGCAAGTAGTTTTAAATACAACAGAAAACAAAAAGGTATGTAGGTTAGGTCAACAAGCACAGATGTGTTGCAGCAACACTGGATGCGAGCACAGAGCAATGAAAGCATGGGGTCCCCACTGTGAGAGTGGCAGGCTCTGTCACAGTCACTAGTGCCCCTTTATTTACTTGCCTATTTTACTCCTCAAAAAAACACTAGACAGGCACGATTTCTTTATTCATAAGTTGTTTTGTTTTTCCTCTAAGAAAACATTATGTATGTTCTTGGTTTTAGAATTCAATGGATTACCCCATGCAAGGATGAAACCGAATCACTTGTACATTCTCAAATCTTTTTAGGTCTGCACTGCCCAGTCCAGCAGCCATCAGCGCCATAAAGCTATTTACACTTAATTACAATTAGATAAACTTTAGAAACCAGTTCCCCAGTTATACTAGCTACACTTCAAGTGGCTGCTACATTGTGCAGTACAACTTCAGACCGTGTCCATCATCACACAAGGTTCTACTGGACTCCACTTATTGGGCCATTCTTACAGAACAGGTCGCACAGTGGCCACATATGAGAAAGGGTGACAGACTTTGGCGAACAAGTATTGTCTTCTTCAAGATGCACAGGATGCCACCTAGCTCTAGTAAGTTACTTATATTCTCTTTGTCAATACAGTCTATACTGGGTTAAATATTGACCTCTATTGAATATGGTTCTAATTGTAATATGAGCCACAATAACCACTTTTTTATGTCTTGTTTGTAGCAGAATACAGGGGTTGGCAAAAGGAGGTTTACAGTTGTGAGTATGTGAAATGGATTTTATTCTTGTAATATTCATTTATTATTATATTATGTATTATTACTAACCTACTTCTGCCCACCCCTGTGTATGACTGGGAATGCATAATAAAAATACCTAAATAATTGTTGGGAACTGCTCTGCCTGGTTTCAGAAGGTGTAATCCCCCGTGGCTATGGCTGAGTAAAGGACCCGGGGACCATAAGCTACTTAGGAGACAAAGTTTATCTTCCTTGTAGAGGCACCACCTCTGCCCCCTTTTCTTCATCCTGGTTGGCCCCGGGTGGGTGACCGATTAGCCAATGACGGGTAAGGTTCCTCAAAAGAAGGACAACCTACCTAAGACAGGCACAGTCACAAAAGGGCCATCAGGGAAGGACTTGGGGGCTACTGAAAAGGGGGGTGATGGGCCCTAGCCCCTTGGCTTTGACATAGCCTGAGTCCTCATTCTGTCTTTGAGAAGTTTCCTAATCTCTTGGCTGCCTTACTTCCCCTGACTTAAGCCTGAAACAATGCCTTAAGCCTGAAACAATGCTGGAGGTGGATGCTGCCCTGTGCTGGAAAAAACAGGCTCCCCGGGGCGATCAGCTCTAAGAAAGAATGACTAAAATCCTATGAAATCTGCTTTGCCAATACCCTCAATTTAAATGATAAGGGTCCAAGCAGGAAGTGTGCTTGTTCCCCAAAGTTTTATGGTCCTTTAACTATCTCACCCTGACTCAGAATAAGCCCTCAGAGTTCTTTAAATGTTGTCTATTGTTTAATCATTTCTGTCTAACAATAACTGATGAGCTTTACATATACACCCTATATTCCTGTGCAAATTGAATCCAATAAAAGCTTGTTAAGGCAAGGGTCAAGGCACTTTCCTCTTGAAAGAGTGGCTGAGGTGCTCCCAGGTGCTCTCCCCTTAAGAGAGAAGCTGCACTGTCCCTTTTCCTTCACAGGACTTGGTAATCTGTGTGAATTTGTCTCGTCTCACCCATAATACCGTGGACCCCAGGAGCCAGGATCCGCATCAAATAATAGCAATAGCAAAATAATCAACTCAATATGGGCAACATCTTAAAGAAACTTACCCTCCTTCACTTTCCGCTTCCTCTGAACTATTACTTGCTCCTGAACTCTGAGCTGTGGCAAGCCTTCTTTTCCTAGCTCTGTGCTGAGGACTAATCCTATGAGCAGTTGTCTTCCTTCGAAGTTCACCATGTACATATTCCTCCAGCTTTGGGATGGTTTCTTTAAGAATTTTGATTTCCTCTTTGAGTTCTTCCATATTTATCAGTAACTCGTCTAACTTCTCCAATATCTGAAGTTGCCTTCCTTGAAAGATTGCTGCTGTTCCTTGGCCATTATGCATTTCATCTTGCAAAGTCACTGGATCCAATGCATTACCCAGAGAAAGAAATTTAGGTAAATTCATTGCTGTCCTTGGATTACGAACCTTATGGTACCACAGAAGAAGCAAGCTGATTCCAGTAGTTCCCACCATGATGCCAAGTATCAGTTCTTTGTTTGTGGAATGAGGCATTCTTGGGTTTTGTTTCTAAAATTAAAAAGCATAAATGTAGATAAATGTTGTTTCTGTCTTTGCCCAAAACAAAAATATTAGAGCTTTTCAATCAAGGAAAGCCAAGTCTACATATACATACACAAAACAACTTGATAAATCATAAATCATAAACTAAAATATATTACCTTTATCATGTATGTAGCCAGGTGGAAATATTTACTTTAAGGATATTACTTAAGTCATCATAAAGTATCAACTTTAATTCAGAGTTTGTATCCTAAATGACTGACTTGATATTTACTCTTTCCTATACCTTTTTAAAAGTGTGATAAATAAACATGAAAGCATCATTATAAACTTCTGAAAAAAACTATTTAAGAATTGAGCCCTGGCTGGTATGGCTCAGTTGACTGAGTGCTGGTCTGAGAACCAAAGGGTCTCAGGTTAGATTCCCAGTCAGAGCACATGCCTGGGTTGTGGGCCAGGTCCCCAGTACGGGGCACACGAGAGGCAACTACACATTGATGTTTCTCTCCCTCTTTTTCTCCCTCTCTTCCCCTCTCTTCAAAAATAAATAAAATCTTTTTTTAAAAAGTTCAAATTATGCTTAACTGTGCCTGAACTTTTTATTTGTGTACAAGTAACTAGTGAAGGCTTAAAAGAAGCTCTCTCTTAGCACATTTTTTATTTATATTTGGAGTGATCAACATTTCAATACCTAGGGCTCTGAGATGCAAACTATATCAGTGAGCTCTGGCAAGGCTGTAACCCAGCCCCCATCTGTTTTTCCCACGTGAAAAGCAGAAATGCTAACCAATGGGCAGCCTTCATGGCCTTTCTTCCTGTGACCCAAATTCTTCTGCTGCTAACGTTTCTATTTCTGCCTAAGTTCTTAATGTTTTCCTTTCTTTCAAATTTTCACTTTAAAATGAATTAACAAAATGTCATTTCTTTGACTCTTTTTCTCCTTCCGAAATTTTGCCTTTTCTCATTCAAGGCCCAAACCCCAGCCCACCTCATGAGGACCACAGCATAACTCCAGGTACTTTGACTGAATGCACCTCACCTTTCTTTAGTATATCCCATCCTCACCAGTTTGATTGTTTATCTCTGTTCTTAAAGCCAGAAGGCTGTTAAAGAAAAACAGAAATAATATAAAGCTCCCTCTCCTATTGAGACTTTAAAATGTCAATAAGTATTTACAACTACAATGAACTTAAGTAATTACAGTAAAATATAGTAAGTTTTTTTTACAGACTGAAGTTCCCAAAATTGCTTCCCCATCAATTTCCTCTATTTTGTAAAAAGGTACACACCCGTATTAAATTTTGTTAGCAACCTGAGAGAAATACTACAAACAATGGCGAACTGTCTATTAAAGAATATTAATTTATATAATTTGGGGTTTTTTTTGGACACTTTCTCAAGGAGATTATTACAGCATTACTCACCTATGACCCCCAAGCAAAAGAAAAGCAGGTAAATTCTTTAATCTCCCCAGGTGTACAATTGGAGGCGACATCTGGACTATGGCACAGGAAGGGGAACCCAACAGGGCCTGCTAGTCTCACTGAGTTGAGCAGAGATCAGAATTCAGAAAAACTGAAGCACCTACAATTTGTACAGCATAGGACTGAAGACAGAGGTGTGCGGAGAAACGGCTCCAGAAATACGTACAGGAGTCGCCTTGAGTCTTTCATTGAATACCACTCACCACATGCCATTTCCAGAAAAAGAACAGTTACCAGGGAGCTAGCTATAAGCTTAACCATTCCTAAAGATTACACAGAATTAAGAAGTGTTCAAATTCCCACTAGCCAGAGTGCACGGTACTTATGAAATAGAAGAGGCTTTCATCAGAGAACTCAGAAAGGTAATGTAATGCCTTGGTAACCGTTGGTAATGAGGCTAAATTAACCCTAGAGTTAAGGCTATTTAGACTTGCTCTAAAAGAGCTTTATAATGAGCTTCTGAAGGAACAAACTTATTCATAAACTTATTTCTTATGACTTATTCACAAGTAATTTAACTGCCTTTGAGAGAAAAAGAAAGCCCAATAGTTTTTAAAGAAATAAGAAAAAATCCAGAACTCAACAACACAAAGTTATGAATGTTGATCACCAATCAGAAATTACTAGATATGTATACTATTTTCTCTTCAGATCGTATAAATCTTCTGCCTTTTACTAAAAATTGCTAGACATGTAAAAAGGCAGAAAAATGTTAAAACTACTGTCACAAATATGTTTACTATTTCATATATTTAAAATATGAAGATAGACGGTACTGAGCAGAACCAAACAGAACTTCTGAAGATAAAAAAAAATAAAACACCAGAAGTAAAATTTTACTGAATAAGATTAATAGCAGAAGAAGATAACACATTAGAAAAGTCAGTGAATCTAAAGACACGGCAATAGAAACCACCTGCTAGCAGCTAAATGTCTGTGTCCCCTCAAAACTCATGTCCAAATCCTAGTTTGCAAGGTGATGGAATTAGGAGGTGGGGCCTTTCAGAGGGAGAGCTCTCATGAATGGCATCAGGGACCTTATACAAGGCACCCAGAGAGATCCCTTGTCTGTCCCACCCTCTGAGGTTATAGCAGGTGCCGTTCACGAATCAGGAAGTGAGCCTCCGAAAGACACTGACTCTGCCTGCGCTTTCATCTTGGATTTCTTAGCCTCCCAAACTGTAAGACATTTCTGCTGTTTATAAGCCACCTAGTCTATGGCATTTTGTTACAGCTGCCCAAGAGACTGAGACACCATCCAAAATGAAGCCCACAGATTAAAAACAAAACAGAATTCAAGCAGAGCCTATGGGGCAATATCAAGCACTTTCAAATATATATAATTAAAGTCAGGGAAGGGAGAGGTGAGATTTGAAGGAAAAATGGCTAAAACTTTCCAAATTGTACAAAACCTATAAACCCAGAGATCCAAGAAGGTCAATGACACAATCCAAGAAGAATAAATTAAGAAAAACAAAGCAAGGCACAACATTATTAAAATGCTGGAAACAAGTGATAAAGAAGAAATCTTAAAAGTAGACAGTGTGGGGGGGGGGGTGGATTTGTTATATACAGACCAAAGGGAAAAAAAGATTACAGCAACCTTTGTCTCAGAGACTCACCTCAGAAACTATTCAAGCAGGAAACAATGGCAGGACACGTTTAAAGTACCAAAAGGAACTATCGATTTACATTTCTATACCTAGTGAAATATTTTTCCATAATGATAAAATACATTCTCAGACAAAGAAAAGATAAGAGAATTCATTGTCAGAGATATGTACTATAAGAAATGCTAACAGAGGTCCTTCAAACAGAAGGGAAATGATAACAGACAGAAACTTGGGCACTGGCCAGAGGCTCAGTTCGTTAGAACATCGTCCAGATACACCAAGGCCGCAGGTTCCATCTCCAGTCAGGGCACAAACGAGAAGCAACTAACAAGTGCATAAATGAGTGGAACACCGAATCGATGTTTCTCTCTCTCAAAATCAATTTTAAAAAAGGCTACATGGGGGAAAATGGTACCAAATGATGGGGATATAACAATAATTCTGTCGGCCAATAGAAAAGAACCAATTTTTTTAAAGGAAGGTAAATTAATGAAGTAAAAGAAACATTAGAGAATTGCTGCAGCAGTGAACTTGAGAAAGCAAAGGTGATGAGTGGTCTCCAGCGCACAAGTACAGAGGCTGACCTTTGATGGAAACAAATTATTCATTCACAGTAATGAAAGACAAAGCAGACAACGTAAGCAGATTCAGGAAGGTGGGGAAATATAGTGGGATCTTATAAAAGTTCTCTTTGATTGCTTAATTGTTCCAGATGAACAAAGAAAACAAACAGCTGAGAGGATGGGGGAAGGAATTTTGGAAATAAGCAAATTCTGAATGCAACTGTATGCCCAAATTTGTCTTCCTCTGATTTATATCCTAGAATCCCACATAAGCAAAGCATTAGCACTTCTCACAGCCAACTACTGTAAATGTGGTGCTTCCAGTGATGCCCTATGAAAAAATAAGAATAAGCAGCAAGAATCTATTTTTAAGAAGTCTGCCTAAAAGAATGCCTCTCTTTGGTCCCTGGCTGGTGTGGCTCAGTAGTTTGAGTGAAAGCCTGTGAACCAAAGGGGCACCAGTTCAATTCCCAGTCAGGGCACATGCCCAGGTTGGGGGCCAGGTCCCCAGTGCAGGCTGCATGAGGGGCAACCACATATCCATGTTTCTCTCCCTCTCTTTCTCCTCCCCACCCCCCTCTCTAAGAATAAATAAATAAAATCTTTTTTTAAAAAAAGGTCTTTCTTTAGATTCCTAATATATCAGACCATATGCATTAAACATAAGGAGTGTCCTATTCAGATACCGTATTTCATTACAGGTCTAAGAGTAAAAGAGAAGGGCAACCAATTTTAAAATAATCATCTGCTAGAAATTGCCCCAGATATTGGTCAATATTATATCTAAGAGCGTTAAGAAACTATTCTGAAGCCAAGGGTTTCAGTATAAAGTCTATGTGCTTAATCTAGCTTTCCTGACCTCAGGGTCCAGTCTGCCTAATCTTTTTAAGGAAAAAATGTTTTTACCTTATTGGTATAACGGAACCGAAAGTCTAATCATCAGTCCAGTCCCATCCCATCCAGACTTGTCAGCAGCAGATTCAGATCAATTTGTAACTTCAGCTAAAGTTGTAGGTCGTTATTATTGGTATTCAATGTTATCTCCACAAAATAATCATATCACAACACTAAATTATGTTAAAAGACCATTCCAAAAAGGCAATAGTACTGGAAAAAGCCACTATATGCCCCTGCCTTACATATGCATACATCTAATAATCATTCATCAAGCTTGATATCTTGGCTCTTTTTGGGGGGTAATAACACTAACGCAGGATATTCATAGGCTGATGCAGAAGTCTATGTAAAGAAATATTTCTATTCTAATTGCTTCCTTGGCTCACTCCTGCTGGGCCCTCCTTGAACTTTACATTAAATAACATAGTCTAGCTTAAATTTTTTTCACTAATAACTAAATAAATGGAAGTCAAAATATATCTAGGAAGATCTTATCCCTGAGATGGTAGCAGGTTTAAACAGGTGGAAAAGAGTATCAAATTTTGTTTGACCTTTTTAGGAATTATGTGGACCATCCCCAAACTATCTGGTGGAGGCAGGTCCTTTCATTTTCTCTATTTTGCAGATAAGTAAACTGAGGCATGTCAGGTTATTCACTTAGGAGTCATCCAAGAAGGAAATGAGGCCTGTCACCGTTGATTAATTACTGAATGCACTGCTGCATGATGAGGATTCAGGACACAACAGCCAGGTCATGAAGGAGAATGTTGACTGTGCAAGAGATGTTCAGAGGTGAGATTTGACTTTGGATCTATGAAAATCAACTGGAAAAAAAACTGGAATCAATGGAGCAGGTATTGGTTAATAACCAATAGAGACTAATAGCTATAATTAAAGACTAATAACCACAATTAGAGACTAGTAGCTAAAGCTATGTTTAAGTTTTTTATCAGTATAAAATAAATGTGCTTCTGAGCAAATAATTTGAAAAATGCCACTCAAAAATACTAATGTAGAAACTTTATAAATCAGAACATTGCTTGCCTGCAGTATACTTTCAAAGGTTATATTACATCACTTATGTAACTTTTATATGTTTAATTATCAAATTAGTACACACTTGCACTTTACTATAAAAACAGAGCAATTTAAAAATTGTGTTTTACTTGTCCTTTAAATAAATTTAAAAAGGGGGGAAAGATGATAGAAACCTTGGTTTTTAGGGGACAAGAAATTGTAAATGAAGGGAAGGGGGGTGGGGGGTGCAATGGGGGCCAACTTTAGGGGGTCCCATATAAAAAAAAATTAAAAAAAAAAAAAAAAAAAAAAAACAGGAAGGGGGGGGGGGGGGTTGGGAATTAAGTTAATTATAAAGTTTTCAGCAATATCCATCATATATTCACTTACTTCATCAGATTCTTAGGAGGCGATACAGAAAATATGTAACTGATAAAAATGAGGGGACTTATGAAAATAGATTTACAACAGGGGTAAAGAAACATTAGGGATTAAAGCCTGAAGTTTAAGTTTCCCTAGGAATCGCTGGGACCTGTAATTAGTGACCGCATTCCCCACAAAGACCTGAATAAGGGTAACTTTTAAGTAAATTCCAGCACTCGTATTTCATCGTTTCCATAATTTTTATTTCCTATTTTCTTTTTAATTTAGGACTCTGATATCTGTCTTATTTGCAAATGTTTGTCCCACTGAATCGGCCCCACGTTTCGTGTAAAAGCAGAAAATCCAAGTTTGTTGGGAACACAACAAAAACATGTTTGCGGCTGAAAGTTAAGACCCAGGGAGCCGAGGTGCGAGGCGAGCCAAGCATCCCCAACAGAAATCAGCGGGGCTTGTAGGGACCCGCCAGGCCGAAACGGAACACTGCCCACTCCCCGCCGCGCAGCGCGGGGAAGGGGCTTCCGAAAGGTTCCCACCGCCGCCGAGAGGATAAAACGGGCAGCAACTACTGCAGCTCCGCGAAACCCGGAAGTGCAGTGCCTGCCACCGGAAGTGCTGCCTCAGCCCTCTGCCCGCCCCCGGGCGCGTCCCGTCTGGGCCAGACGAGCAGCCCAGAGACCACTGCTGCACTCACCAGTGCTCGCCGCGGGGGCTTCTCCGCTGTCGGAGCCTGGGGGCCTGGTACCGGGAACCCGCGGGAGAGGACGGTGGGAGAGAAGAGGCCAGCGGACGGCAGTCCTGCAGCCCGCAGGTCCCGAGGTCCGGCGCCACGGCCGCCGCGTCCTGCCCCAGATAGTGGAGGCGCCGGGGGAGGAGCCCGCGGCCCCTCGCCCTTCGGGTCCCGCCTCTAAGCGCTTGGTGTTAACTCACCTGGGGCGGGGGCTCTTTATACCACTGGGAACAACTGTTCTCCGTCTGGCCCCTCGGGCCGTACCGGACATTGTAGCCCGGATGCTTCCTCCCCTGGAAGCTTGTCCCCCCCGCCGCGCCCTGGCTCAGGGCCACGCACGGTCGGCCCCTGGGGAGGCTTAGCGCTTGCTTTCCACCCCAGTGCAGTCCTGCCCATCGCTGCCGCTCCCCAAACCCATCCCCTGCCCTAGTATGACCCTTTTGTGCCGCTCAGTAGGGACAACCTTTGCGTGGCCGGGACAAAAGCTGGTGTCTTCAACTAATGAGTAATGGCCACAGCGACGTTTTCATAACTTCATTTTAACACACGTGCCCTTTTAAAAGCACAACCAATTGGTCCCCCCCACCATTCGAAGTTGTCAGATGAAAGCCACCTTCTCAGACGCTTAGCACTTCAGAGTTAAACTTAACTTTGTATAATGAAAATAAAATTCTCCCAAATAAACTTTCAACAACTTGCACATTCATGCTCTTCTGTATATCCCTCACTTGGAGCTTTAAATTCAGGCTTGCAGAGAACTTAGTCTTGATTACTAAATTCCTCACCAGTGTACTGAGTGGAATTGAAAATGGGTACACTCTATCAAAAAACCAAGAACTTCCGTAAAAAAAAATCATAAGGTTAATTTTACAGTCTATAAAAACCTCCTTATTGATGGGAATTCTATAGAATTTTTAAGACAATAAGGTGGTTTTTTAGCTTGAAGCTGCCGCATTCAAGAATAAATAAGCCTGGCCATAGTCATGTTATTAAAACTAAGTTATGTTTTGGAAAGCACAGACCTTAACCTCTAAGATTTGAAACTAGTAAATCACTCCCTTCTAGGAACCACTTTTCAATGCTATTACTGTATTATGGTTTGCAAAGATATAATGCTAAAATTTGCCTTAATTAGAATACAATATAATATACACCTGCCGTGCATGATGATAATAGTTAAAAAACAAAACAAAACAGGATTTCATTACAAAAGAAACTTTGCTGTTTCTCCAATACTTAAAAGAAGCTTAAAGCACCTTCAGACTTAAGCTTCTCCAGAAGGAGCCCACTGAGCCGTTCACTGCCGCATCCCCAGCACACAGTACAGAAGTCTTTGGTATACATGTGGGGTGTGGGCTGAGAACAGGGCCTTACCAACGCTCTGTTCCAAGAGGAAAGTAACTGGTGAGCTGATACTAACTTGTTCTTGAAGTTCAGAAAGTAGGGCAAAATAGCTGGACTCTTTCCTATGTCCCTGTGTAACCCCAGTTCTTCTCCCTGCTCTCCAATACCTTTGATTCTGTTCTTTGATCAGTAAAATTACCTAAAAGAAACTCAGGTCATGGTAACCATTGATCTTCAGTGAAGTTTAAGCTAAGTAGCAAAGAGGGGAGTTACCTTTACAGGCACTGTTGTGGGGATTATGTACAAAAGAAGGGAAGATCCCCCCCCCCCCCTTTAGTAGGAGTGTATTCTTAAAAGCACTTCAGAAGGGGAAAAAAAAAAATGAGGAATCTCAAAGTGGCTGTCTGTCATACACTGAATGTGCTCCCCCCAAATTCATGTTTAAACCCTAATCCCTAGTGATGGTATTCAGAAGTGCAGCCTTTGGGAAATAATTAGGTCATGAGGTTGGAACCGGCATGCATGGTGTTAATGTAACGCCTTTATGAGAAGAGTCAGGGACCAGAGCTCGCTCTGTCCAGTACCATGTGCGGGTATAACAAGCCAGCCGCCTGCAACCAGCAGCAGGATCCTCAGCAGAACCCAACTGTAATGTCACTATGATCTGAGATTTCCAGCATCTAGAATTGTGACAGGAAAATGTTATTGCAGCTGCCCCGTTGGTAATTTGTCACAGCAGCCCAGAATAAGGCACTGTAATTCATCACAAGTAGCACAGCATTTCTGATCATCAGGCACCAGTGGCCTGCAGGCTCTTCACAATTTGTCGCCCCCTGGTGCTGTAGCGTTCCCCTGCCACTGCATCAGGCATCATCCTATACGGCAGCTATAGCCAAACTACTTAAAATCTTTCCATAAGCCACCCTTTGTCTAGTCTCTGTCCTTTACAGGCTGCTCTCTGTGCCTGAATACCCTCCTCTTGGCCACCTGTCAAACCCAGCCAGTCTAGTCTGCTTCCCTGGAGAAGCTGCTGTGCACATTCTCCTCCTCCCCAGAAGAAGCACTCGCTCATCCATGCCCAGTCAAAACTTTTGTGGATATAAAACTCCTCTCTGCTGGCTTTCAGCACACCTCTGTCATGGACACTGCAATACTACTGCTTAGTCAGTGACTATTGTGTCCACGAAATGACGAACATTTCAAAAGGGGGATGTATTTATCTTTGTATCCTCAGTGTCTGGCACTGCACATGCTTCCATTAAATATTTGAAAACATTTCTGCGAAAGTAATATGTACACTCAAGAGAAAAGCATTAAGAAATCTGCAGTCCTTGCCCTGACCAGTGTGGCTCAGTTGGTTGGGTGTCTTACTGCAAGGAGAAGGTCGCTGGTTTGATTCCTGGTCAGGGCATGTGCCTGGGTTGTGGCTTCAGTCCACAATCAGGGTGAGTACTATGTTTCTTAGTTAATGTTTCTCTCTTTCCCTTCCTCCCTTCCTTCCCCTCTTTCTAAAAATAAGATATTTTTTAAATTGCATTCACATAATAGTCATATAAGTGTATGTCAAGGGTTTGAGGGTTTTGTTTGTTTTATTTCTCGGATTTTGTTCAAGTGGTTTTATTTCCAGGGAGCAATTAAATGACAAAATTAGTTTTAGCTTTATGGCAATTACCAAAAAACTCTATAGTTAATTATTCTTATAGTTCCTTCTTGTGTAATTATTTGCAGATCCTTTTATCACTTATCAACTTAGTCAAGAGACCATTAAAAGAAATTGAACTTTTAGCTTCCGAGATCAGTGAGATCGGGCGCATTCAGTGTGGTTTGGATGTAAACAGAAATTGAACTGTTTAGAAGGCAATCAAGAGTTTTGCCTCCATCCCTTGGAAATATATGTTCTTTTCATTCTAGAAATTATATCTGGATTTTACTTTTAAGCTCAGGAAATGGTGATAGTCAGATATTACGACTTACACTACATTACATCTTCTAATTTACAACCTGAATTTCTTCTTTTACTGCTAAATAACGGAAGAAATTATTTTAAAATTAAGAATACATCAAGAGAACGAGGCAGAAGAGAGCGAGGAGAGAGAGGTCCGGGTCTGCCTGTGCCGACCAAGAGCAGGGGCAGCGGAAGGAGCCGGCCAGGCCTCACTGACGCTGGAAGGTCTCCTGTGAACTGCACAGGGAGCAAACCGTGGCAGCTGCGGCAAAAACCAGACTGAGTTTTATGTTCGGTTCCTGCTTCATTCTTTACGTGAATTCCCTTATCTTCCCAACAATGCCCTGAGGTAAAAAAGAAAAGTTACAGGCAAGGAAACGGAGGCTTAGAGAGGTGAAGAAACTTGTCTCTGGCTACACAATCGGTTTTAGAAACCCTCTGAACCGCTCCCTGGGAGCCAGGCTTTAGTCTGTGACAGCATGTTGGAAGGGGGCTCTTCGTAGCACCTTTCATGAGCACCTCACAGCTTCTCACGTTTATCTTTCACTGCTCCTCTCGCTGGAGGGACCAATCCGCAGACCGAAGCCCTTACCTACAAAGGGCTTTTCTGTGGTGTTTACCGTGATCTCCAAGCCACAGGTGTACCATTATTGTGGGTCTACCGAATTCAGACTAGGCTAGGAACACAGTCTAGGGAAAAGAGGAAAAGGAACACTATGTCTAAAATAAACATTTAGAAAAAATTTTCCCTAGAACACAAGAAAATCACCCAGCAAATTTCTGAAAAATAACTATGACTAAATTGGACCCTCCAAGGCAAAAATGCTTTCTTTGAAAAGGCATGAGGATAAGTTTATTAAATATTTCCATAAGACTAGTGAATAATGTAATTAATTATTAATCACTTAAATATAAGAAAATAGTTGACCCAATATGCCTGTACTGAATAAATCAGAAACAGTATATAGAAAGATATGCAAGAAAGAAAAGTTAGCGACAATATTTATATAATAATGCTACTTAGCAATTCAATGTTGAATCAATTTATTTTTAAAAAAAAGGCGATGGCTTCAAAATCATCCATCATCTAAATGAAAATGCAAATTTCATTCGATCCACATAATTTAAAATACTTTGGTACCACGAATTATTCTTCCTATAAATACAGCATTCTTATCAGAAACTTTCTGTTTTGTTGGAGAAATTAAGGTTTTGATAAGTGAAGAAACAATCATTTTCAGCAAGGCTTATGTCTTGCCCAGTTGATACTAACCTTTTTCGGTGATTATCAGCAGTTTTTTTGTGACACTTCAGGGTAGGAATAGTTCAGAGCTTGCTTGTTCAAAGTGCAGCCTTGGATGCACACTAAAGAAAAGCAAGAGATTAAAAGCAAAGAGTAGTTTTGCCCCTCCCTTCTGCATTCTTTCTTCATCTCTGGAGAGAATGTTCAAGGATATCCTTGACCACATATATGTCAGGTTCACAAGTTAAGGTCAGTTTCATGGTTTGTGACAGATTAAAAAGAAGTTGAATGTTCATCAGTTGGACAAAATGTTTTTACAATATGTGAACCATTAAATGCATGAAGTTTGTAAAAGAACTACTCATTTAGCCAAAGGGCTCTTTGACTTTTCCATGTAAGGCAAAACAACTTCTCCAATGCTCCTAAAAAAGACATTTCTTATAATAATCACATTTACTCTCCCAGTAATGAAAATCTTCGATTTCTCAAACAGAACGGCATCAAGAGGAGCTTTTCCTCTGAATGGAACAATTAGCCAGTCATTCATGGTACATGAAGCACTGAAGGGGTGTCTGTATTGGATTAATGAAAGATTCTTAACAAACTACT